CTTCAGCAGGATAGCGCTCCTTCTCATGCTTCAGCCTCCACATCATATTCCTCAAAGCAAAGAAGGTCAAAATGCTCTAGAATTGGCCAGCCCAGTCACCAGACATGAACATTATTGAGCATGTTTGGGGTAAGATGAAGGAGGAGGCGATAAAGATGAATCCAAAGAGTCGTGATGAACTCTGGGAGTCCTGCAAGAACGCTTTCTTTGCCATTACAGATGACTTTATTAATAAGTTATTTGAGTCATTGCAGAGATGTATGGATGCAGTTGTACTGTACAAGCTCATGGGAGTCATACACAATATTAATTCTGTTTCCACTGCACCATGACTTCATATTCTATACTGTACATTATTTCTGAAAAGACTTTTGTCAAAGCCAGATCTTACTGTCCCAATTAAATCATTAAAAATGAAGACATGATCATATTTTATTTTGGTAAAATAAGTGTAATCTAGAAGTCTTTGACTAGCATATAAGCTACTTCTGATACCAAATGATCGACTAGAAGTCAAGTTGTTATTTGTTGTTTCTAAAACTTGGATAGGAAAACAGACTTTTGTCAGGTACAGTACATCATATGTAGTAGTCTAAATTATAGCAAACGAGGTGTGTAGTAGTAGTTATATAATAATACTTTTTAAAATGCTTGGAAATGAACATCTTTATTAAAGGGAACCTATTATGTCCCTTTTTACAAGATGCAAAATAAGTCTTTGATGTCTCTAGTGTATGCAGAGGTGTAAAGAACAAAGAAAAATCATACTTAAGTAAAAGTACCATCATTTGAATAAAATGTAGTGCAAGTAGTGTAAATGTATCTGTTGTAAATGACACTCAAAATATGAGTAAAATGTAGACCTTTTAAAAGTACTCAAGAGTAGTGAGTAGTAAGTGAGTATTACGCTGTAAAAAGCTGATGCATTTACATATAATTTGTGCATGTGTGTGTAAACTTAACATTCTGTAGTGCATCTAGTGATTGCCCAGCAGGTACACAATAGCCCCTTTCACACATACACACCTTTCCGGAAAATTGTGTGTATGGTGTGTATGTGTGAACAGGCTCTTTTTGAAAATACCGGTAAATTCGTTCTGGCTATTTTCCGGAAAGAGAAGTTGTAAATTTACCGGTAATTTGCCGGAATGCTGCACTGTGTGAACGCAAAAGGAAGATTGCCGGAATAAGCGCATGCACGTCTAGAACGTGCTGATGTGAGACGTCTGCTTTAGCCAATCAGAACAGTCAGACGCATTCACGTCCATGCGGTTTATGAGAATAAAAGCCTTTGAATATTTTTCCAGACACATTTAGCTACTAGAAATTAGTCAGATAACGTTTATATGTTCATCTGAATGCCAACCGTGTAAATAATTATCAATAAGATGCTTATGATAAGCCGTTGTTTGTTTACCTTCAAGCTTTGCGTGTGCCCATAAACAGTCTATAAGCGCCAGCACACGAACATATCATGAACAACTCGACATGCGAAAATGTTTCTCTATATGTTTTCATCGAAGTTGTCCGCAATACTGATCCATCCACAGAGTTTGTAATGTAGTCAAAGGTTTACAAATAAAAGCGCAGCCGTTTAGAGCTCATTTCTGGTTAATGATGTCAGAATTTACTGGTATTTTGGAATGGATGTGTGAATGCTCTTTTCCGGAAAAAGTCCATAACGTCCTCGCCTGTGTGAACAACGCTTTTTTTAATTTACCGGTCGCAGTCGTTCTGGAAATTTTCCACATATTTACTGGTATCGCTGTGTGAAACGGGCTAATGTCATAAGACGTTAATATTAGGTTTGATTTAGGTTGTGACGTCAGGTGAAAAAAATTCCATGTCTAGCCAGCATCTAAGAACAATATTATTTTGCTGTTCAATAACGATGTGAAATTACGTTGATATTTGGTTGATTTTAGGTTGTTAGAAAGTGACCAAAATCCAACGTCGAGTCAACATCTTAAGCCAACGTCACATTGACGTCAAATACTGACATTTATTCGTCAGGTATGGCAACCAAAATCCAACGTCTGATAGTCATCATAATGGTAATTTCCACACAACATCAAGCTGTAACATCATCATCAGACATTGATATTTGGTTGGTTTTAGGTTGGACATTGACTTCGGCCTAATGTTGAGTTCTGACATCAACCTGATTTTCATTTCTAAACAAAATACAACGTCCCCACGACGTTAGGCATCAACATTAATTCGACAATGTTGACATCCTGTGCCTGCTGAGTGTTTAAGACCATTTCAGTCATCATACAGTAAACACCTGTCATCTTCTCATCAGTGACTTGCATTTAAACATTCTCTGGGTCATTGTGTGTGACGATTTTGGACATCTTCTTGGACACTTTTAATGCTTCCAACTAGTTTGCTGCAATTATAAATCACCCATGTCTTGAGGTAGTTCATTATTATGCAACTTGCCTTGTATATGTATCTTGATTGGACAGAAATCACAGGATTGTTTTTTAAATCCCCATAGACAGGAAAAAATAAAGTAGCGACAGCAAAAGTACCAATGCTGTACTAAAAATGTACTTAAGGCAACCTAAAAGTACACATTTTTAAAACTACTTGGAAAATTACAATTCCTCAGAAGAACTACTCAATTACAGTAATTTGAGTATTTGTAATTTGCTACTTTACACCACTGAGTGTACAAAATTTCAGAGCAAAATACCACACAATTTTTAAAAACTATTTGAAACTGCCCCTTTTTAGGCTTTGATTCAAATTGTGCCGTATTAGGTGACTATCCCTTTAAATTCAAATAAGATTGTGCTCTTTTTGTGCAGCAACTTTAACTATGAGGTAAACACAAAACAAAACTTTTCATCCGGAGCTCCTTCACGGGACTCCACACTTGTAAAAATCGCTACATTGGGTTCGCGCCATTCGCGCGGCTCTCGGGCCCGCCCCGGCTTGTCAGCGATACCAAGCCGACCAATCACAGAGCTTGCGCTACGCGTTGTTGCGACGTGTAGTTACATTTTTTGAGAGGTGCACGTCAGTAACGGCGACGGCCACGGCGAAGGGCTATGCGTCAGCGCTGTAGCATACGCCGGTGTTTGACCCAGAAGTATAAATCAGCCTTAACTCTGAAAAACAGTAGGTATTGGCACTAAAACTCTAATGGAGGATGACTGCTTCTCACTCAGGGCGCTCTATGCTCAGGAGGGAGAGATCTCCATTAATGTGCGGGGCTTTCCCCCTCTGATGACACGTACAAAGGGAGAATGTCAATCAAAGCATTTCTGCAGACTGTTTTTATGGAGTGTGATTATATAAAATAGAAAGAATACATTTTTACTATTAGATGCTGGCTGTGTTCATACATTGCTGCCACAGGTGTTTAAACCACAAATAAAAGGGACTTTTAGCATAATAGATACCCTTGAATTAATTAATAAATAACAATTATTTCAATGAATAACAATTATACATTGCTTAATACACACAGGGTGTACAGGAATATGCAAATATCTTTACAAATGAAAAATAATTTTAAAGGATTTAAATATTACTAAAATTATTATTTTCTAGCCTACATAAATATAAAAACCACTGCCTTCATGCCTTCTTTATCTCAGGGGGCTTTTTCAGTTCATTCATAACAATTTGCTTTTGTATAATGTTATTATTATTAGCAGTATTATTTATTATATGCATATTTATATTTGTTTTAATAAAAACAAGCTTAGATTTGCCCACTTATCAGGTTTTAGACCATATGGGGCACAGCATGTGTATTAGGATAGAACTCAGTTTTTTTGATCACACTTTATTATTGTTGTTTATTTATTCATTTGCTGGAAATTAGAACTGAATTTAGAAAAAGTTTTGAAACAAATCTTTGCGCTTAACAAGCGGAATTAATTATTTATAGGCTAATGGATGTCTGTGCGTGCAACACGTTTCCCTATCAATGAAAGTGAAAGTGAAAGTAAAGAATGAGGAGGCTCATCCCTCATTCTCGCCCTGCAGATGCTCTGTTTTCTCGCTAGTGAAGCACTCAGTTTTTCAACTTACAAAGTCCACCATGTAAATAGCAAATGCGCTATGGCACAATGCAACTGACTCTTACAAGGAATGCAAGATGAGACTCTGATTGGTTTATTCTCAAAACATACCAATAACTCATTAAGAGAATAAGCTTAACCCTGTTAGACCATGCGCCATGGCGCAAAGCGGATTTTCCGTCCTTAAAATAGCAAAAGTAGATTCTAACAAGCCCTTAATGCTTTTGCACACTGCGCTTTGGGCTAAAAAGTAAAAGTAAAAGTAAAAATTGTGTCTTTTCAGATCAAGGTGAAATCACTATGCCTATTTAGTTTCCTTTTTTTTTTTTTTTTTAGCAAATTTTAAAACATAATAGTAATAATAACTAATAATTTATAATTTTTTTGGCCATGATGACAGTACATACTATTTTACTAGCTACTATTTTGCTGTATACTAGTGTTCACCTTAAAGTGCATTTTAAAGGCTTAACTAGGATAACTTGGCAATCTTGGTTCTGTAGCCAATTGAAAAAAAGGAGGCTAATAATAATTTAATTTCCTTTAAAAGAAAATAAAAAAAGCTAAAATATTATAATATATTATATACAGTATATTATATACTAAAATATATAGTAGGGAACATTTATTAGGAATTACTGTGAAAAATGTCCTTTCTCTGTTAAGCATCACTTTGTAAATATTTGAAAAAAGAATAAAATATTAACAGGAGGGCTAATAATTTTGTCTTTGACAGCATGACTTGTTGCATATTAATATTTCTATTTTTTGCATTGTTTTTCCTCTGCTGTATCCGAACAGTCCTGCGACTCATTTACGGGTCATAACCCACCGGTTGAGAACAACTGACACTTCCTACCACAGCAACATTGCATTAATCTTTACAGAGAGGCTCTCCAAGTTTCCATAAACAGTGGGAAATAATAAAAAGTTGTAATTTAAAAAAGGTAAAATACCTACTGTTGCCACGTTACAGCATCAACCACAGAACCGCCATTTTTCATAAACCTGCAAAAACAGAGAAAAATAAAATGATTACAGAAATAGAAAAACTAATGCGTCGACATAAAAAAAACCTCACAGTCGAGAACTAACAAGAGGTGTCTGTTTATTTCAGCAGTGACACTGATCTCTCATGCTGCGAGTAAATCTGTGTGGTGAGCTGAGTAATCTCAATCAAACCAGCGAACAAAACTCCTTATAGGGAGCGAAGTTTCTAAACAGTTATTCATGTGACAGCGAGGCAAAGTTCCACAAAGAAAAACAGTGACCACCCTTTTTCTCTGCAAAACGTCCTATAATTCCCCTCTCGTCTGCCTCTCTTTCCCTCTGTCTGTCTGCTGCGTTTAAACGGCATTTATCATTTCCATCTGAACGAGACTGGTAGCAGCAAGGGGTGGCGTCTCGTTCTGAGGAAGACTTCGACAAAAGCATTTGTGGTCGTAATAGCAAGTCTCATTGCAGCCTGCCAAAGTTATGAGCGCTTAAGCGTCCCAGCAGGAAAACACAAGACAGCTTGTGGCAGAAAGTAAATGGGTGCACCTAAACTGCACAGTACAAATCACACCGAGCAGAGAGGCCCATGCCAAAATGATGACAAATAGCTCACATGCTCAGAATTTCTGGCCTTCTCATCGGCCCAGGTTTTCCTTCTTGAATTATCATTTAGTTGAGAAACAACACTGCGTGAGATATCGAGACTCGATTAAAACCTTAAATCACATCATGAGCCACTCTGTTACACAATCACATGATACTGTATCTATTTCTGCATGAAATGTGATCGTAACAATGGCAATATTTTAGATCATTTTGACATCTGGATGACAATAGCATACTCAAATGAGTAAAACATGTCAAGAAAAAAATTTAATGAATAAATACAGTAAACACAAGTAGCAGTGTGATATGGCTGTATATCGGCACTGGTGGGAGACGTGTGTAGGCTTGAAGCTGCAGGCTGAGTGCTTTAGTGTCCCACCAGTGATGATATACAGCCATATTGCACTGCTACAAGTGTGATATTGCGTTTATACAATGATTTGATGGCATAATTGTGTATAAAAAGAAAAACAAACATGCAGAGCCTCAAAAATACTGTTGTATGAGGAACTCCTTCTTTTGGCCATTCATTTACATTTGCAGCTGACATCAGAACTGCAAAAACCATGGCTAATTCACCAATGTCACTTTAAAGCTAGTGTTTGAATGATTGGCTAACGTAATGTCTAAAGTGATGACAAAACAGCTGATTTTGCTGACATTTTAATTTTATAAAGCTGAACGGCATGAAATGCCATCAGTATACAGAGATTTCCCAGTATTTCTTCAGTATTTAGTTGCAGTCAGGAGATCACATTATAAACCCCGAAAAAGCCGAAGCAAAGCAAACACTAACAGATTAATATGATATAAATACAGCACTACAACATACAAAAGAAAGAGATCAATTTAGAACAGCACTTACGTTTTAATAATGGTTTGATAACAATGAAAAGAAAACGAGGAGTTTTTCTACTCTAAGACTTAATACTGTATGTGTGTAGGTGTAGACAGGGTCTGCTGTAAGCCGCTGTTTGCAGGAATGAGGAAGCTCTGGTTAGGCACTGACAGATTTATATCTGGCTCTGTCACACAGGCATTACAACCAATTAGTATCCACTCACAAAAGCCATTATTCTACAAAACCAGTTTTTTGATGAACAGGACAAAAGCACAAACAACGTAACATGAATACTCACAAATGAATTGCAGAGGTATTCATCTCAGATGTCAGAATTAGAAAAATGTGTTCTTAATACTTAGCACATCAACGCTGGCACTGCTTTAATATGCTCTTGTCATAAAAATATGTGTTTAGAAGCATACGGTTGGCAGCATTGCTCAAATCCTCTTTTAAAACCACAGACTGAATGATTGAGACATGAGTCTTGTTTTAAAGGGATTTCAGACATGGGAGTTTTGCATTAATTATTCAGCCTTAATTAGAAACAGTGCCAAAGAACACTCAGACCAAATCTGAACAACCTCATTCTCCTGCATGGTAATACACAAACAGTTAACTCCAATGAGCCATGTGGAATGACTCAGTCAGACACACACTCAATCCAAATGGCTCTTGATATGGACACCAACAACCCACTCGCTAATGATCCATTTAGAAAGACTCACTCATTATCATTGAATCAATAAGAACGTTTTTTATAGGGATGTCAACAAACAACTCTTATGAATCATATACAAAGACTCATTCACTCACTGAGTCAATCCAACTGACTCTTCATAGCAATGTCAACAAATAGCTCTTCTGAATCATATATAAAGACTCACTCATTCTCATTGATTCAATGTGAATGGTTCTTGAATGGGATGTCAACAAACAACTCTTATGAGTCATATATAAAGACTCAATCACATTCACTGAATCAATCTGAATGACTCCTTATATGGATGTCAAAAAATAACTCTTATGAGCCATATATACAGTTAAGACTCAATCACAGTCACTGAATCATTCTGAATGACTCTTCATATGGATGTCAAAAAAAAAACTCTTATGTACTGTATTATATCTAAAGACTCAATCACACTCACTTAATCAACCTGAATGACTCTTCATAGTGATGTCAACAAAAAAATAAAATAAAAATCAAATACAAAGGGTCATTTACACTCACTGAGTCAATTCAAATGACTCTTCTTGGGAATGACAACAAATAGCTCTTATGAATCATAAAGACTCACTCATTCTCATTGAATCAATCGAAATGGTTTTTCCTAATATGGACATCAACAAAAAACTCTTATGAATCATATATACAGACTCAATCACACTCACTGAATCAATCCAAATGGTTCTTGATAGGAACACCAACAAATAAAGACTAGTTCTCACTCACTGAATCAACCCAAAGGGTTCTTCTTATTAAGCACATCAACAAATAACTCTTATGAATCATTAATAAAGACTCGTTCACGCTCAATTAATCAATCCAAATGACTTTTCATATAGGCATGTTAACACATAACTCTAGTGAATCATTTTAAAATAACTCACAGTCACTGAATCACTTCAAATGGTTCTTAAAGAGAAAGTCTGTTTCCACTTCCAATCTTATTTATGTGATTATTGTTTCAATTAATGATCAATTAACCATTAGATGCAGAGATGAACACTGGAAGAATCAGGTTGAACATTCTTGTTTTATGTTTAAATTATAGAATGTTTTATTTATTTTTTTAACATATTTTACTCAAAGGTTTTTACAGCTGGGATTTTGGGAATCTCTTTTTCTTTTCTCCATAAATCAAACATACTGACAAAAATCTATTTTTTGTGTGAAATAACAGATGTTGTATATTATGTATATTTCATATTAGAAACTATACATAAAAGACTTTATGTATGTACAGAGAGTGCTGCTGAAGTGGAGATTTATGTGTTAGATTTATGGCTCAGTGCAGAAGAAAAACAAATTTAAGGAAACAGCATTAAAAATGTAAAAACAAATTGATAATGTGTGTTTTGGCTGCTTTTTTTTACTGAATTAAACACTTTTATAAAGCCTAAAATCTTAGAACTGACAGATGCATGAAAAAATATTTTTGCCTAACCTTAGTATCTAACCTTAATTGACCCTTGATAGATACATTAATGTAATTTAACAATTTAAACCAACAGTTAATTCACTATTAGCTATGTTTCCATCAACCTATGTGTATTTTGGATATGCGCATAAAAAATAGTTGATGAAAGCGTCAAGACACGTCATGATAAGTTTTAAAAATGCGCATAATAATCGTATGTGCAAAACCAAGTAGGATAAACTCTTTATTAGATAAGAAAATATGCGCATAAACTACGATTGGAAACACTTTTGCTGAATAAATTCCAGTTTTTGCATAAAAAAAAGTCATGTGATTTTGTTATAAGAGATCATGTGATGATAAAAATGTGTGTGAACAGACAAACCAACAGGCTGAGCACATTGTAAAACATTGGAAATGTTGTTTTGGTCATTAACCGTTTCAGTATTAGTGTTATTATATTATTAATTACCTCCAGAACTGTCAAGAGCGTCTGTGCTCTGTGTCTGACGCCTTCAAACGCCACCACGCGTTCACTGCATGTCAGGAATGTCTTCTGAGGAGCAAGTCATTTTTATATAAAGAAAAGATTCACGCAGCTTCTCCAACGGTAGCAAATTTTTACTGTTGATATTTGGTGTCAGTAATTAGGAAGTGGCGATTTTGTTCTCTTTCAGTCATTGGATGGAAACGCTGCTTTATTTGCACGTCTTTTATGTAATACTCCTGTTTAGCGCATACATTTAATTTGCATCTTTGGATGGAAACAGCTTTTCACCCCCCTAGTACTTGATTGACTTAAAGGGGCTTAAAGATCACTCAAAATATTTTATTAATTTCTGTTTTGTTGAACATAAAAAGATGTTTTGATGAAAGCTGGAAACCTGTAGCCATTGACTTACAGCCATTGACAAAGTATTTGTCCAACTATGGAAGTCAGTGGTTACAGGTGAAAGAAGCTGTAACAGGTTTGGAACAAGTAAAGGGTGAGTAAATGATGACAGAATTTTCATTTCTTGGTGAACTATCCCTTTAAGGCAAGGCAAGTTTATTCATATAGCCCATAATGGTAATTGAGCACAAATTGATACGTATTTCTAGCTTCCTTTTATGAAAAAAAACCCTCTAATATCTTAAAACTGACAAATGGATGAAAAAACTGTTTTTGCCTGCCGTGTCTCACCGTAATTGACCATTGATAAGATATACCAATATAAAAGATTACCAAAAATTAATTCACCATGGACATCTACAGTACTTGATTTACTTAAAGGGATAGTTCACCCAAAAAAAAATAATTTACTCACCCTCAAGTGGTCCCAAACTTTTATTAACCTGTTAGAAACAGTGACATAAACATGCACAGCAAAGAATGCATCTGTGTCTTGTTATTACAATGTCTTCCATATCTAATGCACAACTTACACAAATTATGCAAATACATTCCTTATAGTCTTCCCATTGAAAAACAACCAGCTACGATAGCTGCTTGAGAGTTGTAGCTTTACACTGATGTATGGTTTGTCAAGATTACTTGTGTTCTTTTTTATGTAATCTATTCGTAAACAGTGACATATGCAAAAACAGTTCCTCACTGCGTCCACGTCCTAAAGCTGGCTTGGAGGTTAATTTCTTTATTTGTTGAACACAAAAAGAAGATGTTTTGTAGAAACATGGCTTTTGTAGTCTTATTACTTCCATAGTATTTGTTTGTACCACTATGGAAGTCAAAGGTTACAGAGGAAAGAAGCTGAAACAGGTTTGGAACAAGTAAAGGGTGAGTAAATGATGAAAGAATTTTCATTTCTTGGTAAACTATCCCTTTAAGGCAAGGCAAGAAGGCAAGCCAAGTTTATTTATATAGCACATAATGGCAATTCAAAGTGTTTCACATAAACAAAAAGTTTAAAAGAATCATCAAGTATAATTGGCATAGGAAATAAAAAAAAAGAATTAAAATGAATAAAAGCGGTTTCAAATGTGTTAAAACAGGTTTAAAAGGAATACACAAACAGTTATCAGACCTATAATATCGGATAATATCAATCGGACGTAGAACAGTTCTCATTGGTTAACTGCAAAGCTAAACAAGTGTACTTAATACATGTTGTGACTTAAGACAAAATCTTTGCCTAAACGCGCCTAATCCTCTAAACTAAAATCTGCAGTGCTGCAGCAGGAGCTCTTGCAGTATAGAGAGAGAGGAAGGAGTCTCACGCAGGTGGAACATTGCTCTGTCACACCATTAATAGAGTGACACTTTATTTATCTGACGGTGCGTTTCAATGGTGCTACAGGCCCCTGGACTAACAGTCCACATGGAGCAACATAAACAGGCCTCGGCCATGTGCTCCTCCAGCAGGCGGACAGTACGGCGCTTTCTTAAACAATGTGCTGTGGAGATCTCTTATACGAGCCATTAAAACGAGTCCACCATCAGATAAGCTCTCCTCCAGTAACCAGTCACTGAAAGTGCAAAACGCCACATGATGTGACAAACAAAACCAACCAGAACATACAGAGTAGCGGTCAGCTGCATGTGTATTTATGATATAATGCATTCTAAATGGCAACATGGTGGCTCAGTGGTTAGCACTGTCGCCTCACAGCAAGAAGGTCGCTGGTTTAAGTCCCGGCTGGGTCAGTTGGCATTTCTATGTGGAGTCATGTTCTCCCAGTGTTTGTGTGGGTTTCCTCTGGGTACTCCTGTTCCCCCCACATTCCAAAGACATGCGCTATAGGTCAAGGGTGTGCGAATTCGGTCCTGGAGGGTCGGTGTCCTGCACACTTTAGCTCTAACTTTCTTTAACACACCTGCCTAGAAGTTTTAGTACACTTAGTAAGAGCTTTATTAGCTGGTTCTGGTGTGTTTAAATGGAGTTGAAACAAAAATATACAGGACACCAGCCCTCCAGGACCAAGTTTGGCCTGCTACAGGTGAATTGAATAAACTAAATTGGCTGTAGTGTAAGAGTGTCAACAGGTGTGTATGGATGTTTCCCAGTACTGGGTTGCAGCTGGAAGGCCATCCGCTGTGAAAACACATGCTGGACAAGTTGGCGGTTCATTCCAATGTGGTTGAAAATAGTCCTAATTTACACTTAATAAATGTTGTTTTGCTGTTTGTTCAAAGTACTTATTTAAAATAAGCTGAAGCAAGTTTTTTTTTACAGATTATTAAATTAATTATTTTACTTTATCTTTCACCTTCAAAAAAGACAGATAAAAGTAATGCTGCGTTCACACCAAATGATGAAGCATCAAGCGCGAGTGATTTACATGTTAAGTTATGCAAAGACGTGAATATCCTGCGGCACAGATAACCACATACAGCTGGGCGCACCTCTGAAAGGATCTAGTGAACTACACTGTCAACAGTTTCCTGTAAGATCTACAGTAATTTACTGGCAGCAGCTCGCCAGCAAAGTCCTGTAAATCAATTACAGTAAAAATACTATATTTACATTTTACAGCATTTATCTTGCTCTATATGTATTTACACAATCGTATGTATATCTTTACTGTAAAATATACTGTAATTTTCACAATGCCACTTTAAAATACAGTAACATACTGCATAAATGTCTTACAGTAAAATAAAGTTCATATTACAGTTAAACACCGTGTAATTTACAAAATCATTAACGGAAAAAAAACATTGAAAGAATATACGCGGAAATTCGGATCATTTGGAAAAAAACGAATCATGACGGAAATTCTGCATCTGTTGTGAAGTCAATTTGATGCATGAATGAAGCGAATTTGACGTGCGAATGAAGCAAGTAAACTTAAAATGTAATTCGTCTATTTACATGTGAATAGCGTGATTAATTCACGCATGCCACGTCTGATGTTAACACAGCATTAGATGTACATTCTGTCAATAAATGATTCAGTCCAATAAGAATGTTTTTTAATTTTCACATTTTGCTATTTTTTTTTTTTTCTTGTAATGACACTAACTTCATAGATCATTTTACAAAAAAATTATTGTTGATACCAGATAAATAACAAGTTATTATATAAAATCAGAAAATACACTGTGGGTATAAAGATGATTCAAACAGCAATTCAAAGGCTGTTTTTTTTTCTTTTTCTTTTTTTTTTTTTTACAATTTCTGTTTTTTATTTTTGCATTTATTTAATCAAATAATATTTAAAAAAACTGAATATTGTGAAAATTTAATACAATTTAAAATAAGGGTTTTAATGTTTTTAAATCTAATTAATTCCTGTTAAGAAAGCTGACATTTTAGCATCATTACTTTAGTCTTTACAGTATGTAATGAGTGTATTTGTATAGTGCATTTATCATGGATGGCCATACACCCAAAGCGCTTCACAATCATGAAGATGGTCTCCACACCACCACCAGTGTGCAGCATCCACTTGGACGAAGCGACGGCAGCCACTGGTCAATGCGCTCACCACACACCAGCTATAGGTGGAGTGTAGAGACAGTGGTAGAGCCAAATCGGTGGATGGGGAGGATTGAGAGGCCATGATGGGTAAGGGCAGATGGAGGGCACAGAGGTTACACCCCTACTCTTTACGAGAGTGGCATGGGACTTTAGTCTCACATGATCCTTCAGAATTCTTTTAAGGCTGCTTTTCAATGTTGAAAACAATTGTGCTACTTAATATTTAAGTTTTTTCATACATTTTCTCTAAGGAGTCTTTAGTGAACAGGATGTTAAAAACAACACTACGTTTTATTAGAAATAAAAGGCTTTTCTAGCTAATTTTAATGTTCTTGACTGTTAATTTAGAATAGATCAATTCTATGTATCCTTAACAAAAACTATACATTTAAAACACATACATTTACAAATACATTTAAAAACAAATAAACAATATGTGCTGTATATTTGCTCATCTTTATTAATTTTTGCCTATACAAAGTACACATTAGAGCTGCACGATATTGGAAAAGTTGGCATTGCAATATTTTTTTGCTCTACGGTATATATTACGATATAAATACAATTTCACCAGATGACTTAAATAGTTCTATTTGGAAAGTCATTCATTTAGATTTATTGGGATGATTTTGTAGGGGAGTGATGTGATTTATATTATACATATCATAAACACAAATGAATAAACAAACAAACACAATGGAGCAAATGTTAAATAAACAGTGCCTAATGGTTTTCTGTGGAGGGTCTAATAGTATTTAAGTGCATAAACTGAATAATCAAATGTAAAATAGCATTGCAGTCTTCATCATATAGATTATTTAATAAAATGAATCTTTATTAAACTTCTTTATGTGCTATTAGAATGCATCAAACTCTCCTAAAATGCTCATCCAGTCACAGGCCTTGAAAACACTTTGCAGGTGACAAACTTTCCTCTATTATGCTTAAATTCTGTAGTGTCTCCACAAATCTTGTGTGTTTTGATCTGTGGTTACTGTTAAAATACAAATGGATGCACACACTGCTATACAGTATCAATGCTCAAACAATATATTGTGCAGCCTTACTGTAATAGAAATGTACTAAAATTCAAAACTAATTTTAATATAAAAAAAAATCATAAAATTTAGTCAAATGACCTTAAAAGCACAGCACTATTATCGGTATCTGACAGGATTATCAAAATAGCCTAAATATTTATTTGACCAACACATAAGCAGAAAGCTGCAGAGTTCAGCAGGAACACTGGGTTTATAACTCATCACTCTCCACACAGTCAAACACACAAGTAAGTGCTCGCAGGGAGGCTAAAATAACTCTGAAGAACCACAGAGAAACTCACCCATCTAGTAAGAGGATTGCGTTTTTGCGAGGACGGCCGATGTTTGGCCCGTAGAGGTTCGCTCGGCTGTAGAAACGCACCGACTGCAGTAACGTCTTCAGAAGAGTGTAATCCTGAGCCAGACGAGAGCTGTTGACTGACCGAGCAGCCATTATACGGTAACTGTTGGGCTCTGAGGGCAAACAGAGGATAATAATGCATGATGAAAATAATGCATCAAAAGTTTGGTCTCATTAAATTTTTTTTTATGGTTTTAAAAGTTTCTTATGCTCAACAAGAATTTATTTATTTCACCAAATACACACAAAAAACACTGACATTTTATTATAATTTAAGATATTTAGCAAAGCTTCAGCATCATTCATTCATTGTTTTTCATTTTTGTCTCTTTAATAATCTGTAGTCGCCACAGCAGAATGAACCACCAACTTATTCAGCATATGTTTTATGCAGTGGATGCCCTTCCAGCTGCAATCCAGTACTGGGAAACACCCATATAATCCCATTCACACACATGCACTACGGCCAATTTAGCTTACCCAATTCCCCTATACCCCGCAAGTCTTTGGACTTGTGGGGGAAACCAGACCACTTGGAGGAAACCCACGCCAACAAAGGGAGAACATGCAAACTCAACACAGACATGTCAACTGACCCAGCTGCGGCTCGAACCAGCGACCTTCTTGCTGTGAGGTACTCACTGTGCCACAGTGCAGCCCAGCATCAGTCTTCATTAGGTGATAAACACCACAGACATTCACTCAATTTGTCTGTTTTTAAATATTAAATTATATTTTGATCCCAACTGTGATAAGAGCTTGAGTATTTAAGTATTGAGATTGATTTGGAGTTTATCAGTCTAGTCAACGTTAGCCATTGTTAAAGTTGCCTGAAAATAACCTTTCATTTCACATTTCTGAAGTCTATTTTTTTGCCTAAGCAAGAATTTTACTTCAGCTTTTTTATATGTAAGACTGTATTACACTGAAAAATGATTACTGCTGCTTGTTGAAACTACCCGCTTCAAATGAGCTGAAACAACAAAATTATTGTAATTTCTTTGGCCTATTCATTTGTTTTTTGTTTAAAACAAAACCTGGTTAGAGGATTTGTAATTCTCAGCATGCAAAAAAATCACACTTTTTCAAATCGCAATTTAGTTTTAAAATCGATTAATTGTGCAGGCAATTTAAAGAAATGTATTTAGACAATTTTCTTATATTTTAATTTATTTAAACCACCAGAATCCAGATTTTCATCCATACATTAATGGAAAGCTTATTTATTCAGCTTTGAGTTCATGTATAAATCTAAAATAAAGCATATTCTATAAGCGTTCACACTGTAAATTTAGGATCAATAACAGCTGTAGGAATGTGTGCATTTCAAGTGATCTATCCCTTTAAGACTTCTGAAGCAAGCTGACAGTCAATCGCCAGCGAATATGCAAACTTGAATTACGACCTATATTGCGGTCAGTGCTTCGTAAACAATTTAAACAAGGCAACACTTTGGGAGGTGCACACTTGAAATCACAGCGGGGACGTTACAGAAGTCAAGTGGCGAATTTTATAAACATCAGAGCCTGAGTGAGTGTGTGTTTGTGTGTGGGAAAGAAACATCAGTAGTGTCAATACAGTACCGGGGCAGGCGGAGGCCAGTGGAAAATATGAGACATTATTATTATCCATTAAAATATTAATCTGATTTTATCATTTAGGAAAAGCACATGGTCATTAAATGAATCATCACAGTGCCCGTGCATCACTCTGAAAGCTTTGTGTCACGCTGGCATGACCCACTCCATAAACGTCCACCCGCAGCTAAAGAAATATTTCCCTTTGTTTCATTTGGACTCTTTGTTCGCTTGAAAGTGTTTGCTTTTGAATTAACAGCTCTGCGAAATCTGATTTTGCCAGTTATCCCTTACATCTTTTCTTCAGACGTGGTTATTGTTACAGTTGAAGTCAGAAAGACAAACATCCAAATGGCTGTTCCAGTGATAACAAGCTTTTATTAGAGTTTGTTAAAGGAACACTCCATTTTTTTGGTTAATTAAATAGGCTCTCCTGGAATTAAACATTCGAGTATTATCATGTTTTAATCCATTCAGCTGATCTCCGGGTCAGGTGGGAACACTTTTAACTTAGCTTAGCATACATAACTGAACCAGATTAGACCATTAGCATCTCGCTCAAAAATGACCAAAAAGTTTCCTTAATTTTCCTATAAAAAGCTTTATAGCTTTTCTATAGTTACATCTGGGCATGGGCTGGTATAAGATTCTGACGGTATGATTACCTTGGATATAAATATCACTGTTTCATGGTATCACGGTATTGTGATTACTGCTCTAAAATATATTCTTTTTAAATGTCTGGATAAAAAAAAAAAAAACTTTTCCCCAATTGTACACAATATATTTTAATTTGAAAAACATTTAAAATAGTTTGTTATAGTAAACATGTCAGGCTAAATAATTCAAATGAATCATTGACTTCTGCTGTCTTCATTTGTTTCAAAAACACTGATTATTTTTACAATTTAAAATGGCATCTTTTGATGGCTTTGGATATACTGCTGTCCTAAAAAACAACAAAAAAGTTGATTAAAAAAATCGTACTCATATCTTAGGAACGGTATAGTAGAAAATTTTGATGGTTTTAAAACCTCGACTTTTCCATATATCTTGAACACGGTTACCAAGTTACATCATGCACTAATACCAACTAAAAATTAATAACTGCTCTTTTCTAGGCCAATATGGCCAGGAACTATCCTCTTATTCTGGCATAATAGTCAAGAAGTTTATTAATAAGTCCAGTATATTCATATACACTCACTGGCCACTTTATTAGGAACATCTGGCCAACTGCTTGTTAACGCAAATTATTTATCACCCAATCACATGGCAGCAACTCAATGCATTTAGGCATGTAGACATGGTTAAGACGAAGAAACTGAGCATCAGAATGGAGAAGAAAGGTGATTTAAGTGACTTTGAACGTGGTTGTTGGTGCTAGATGGGCTGGTCTGAGTATTTCAGAAACTGCTAATCTACTGAGATTATCTACTGTGATGATCTCCTGGCCACTTTATTAGGTACACCTAATTAGTAACAGGTTGAAACCTCTTTTGCTTTCAGAACTGTCTAATCCTTCGTGGCATAGATTCAACAAGGTACTGAAATATTCCTCAGAGATTTTGGTCCATATTGACATGGTAGCATCACACAGTTGCTGCAGATTTGTAGGCTGCACATGGATGATGTGAATCTCCCATTCCTTCACATCCCAAAGGTGCTCTATTGGATTGAGCTCTGGTGACTTTGGAGGCCATTTGAGTACAGTGAACTCATTTGTCATGTTCAAGAAACCAGTCTGAGATGATTTCCGCTTTATGACATGGCATGTTATACTGCTGGAAGTAGTCATAAGAAAATGGGTAAACTGTGGTCATAAAGGGATAGATATGGTCAGCATCAATACTCAGGACGGCTGTGGTGTTGACACGATGCTCAATTGGTGCTGATGGGCCCAAAGTGTGCCAAGAAAATATCAAAACAGCATTATACCACCACCACCAGCCGGAACCATTGATACAAGGCAGGACGAATCCATGCTTTCATGTTGTTGATGCCAAATTCTGACCCTAAACTCCGAATGTAGCAACAGAAATCGAGACTCATCAGACCAGGCAATGTTATTCCAATCTTCTATTGTCCAATTTTGGTGAGCCTGTGTGAATTGTAGCCTCAGTTTCCTGTTCTTAGCTAACAGGAGTGGCACCTGGTGTGGTCTTCACTTGCTATAGCTCATCTGACTCAATGTTCTATGTGCTGTGTGTTCAGAGATGCTCTTCTGCAGACTTCGGATGTAACAAGTAATTTGAGTTACTGTTGCCTTTCTATCACCTCGAACCAGTCTGGCCATTCTCCTCTGAGCTCTGGCATCAACAAGGCGTTTGCACCCACACAACTAGATCACTGGATATTTTCTCTTTTTCGGACCATTCTCTGTAAACCCTAGAGACAACTGTGTGTGAAAAATCTTTCTGAAATTCTCAGACCAGCCTGTGTGGCACCAACAACCATGCCACATTCAAAGTCATTAAATCACCTTTCTTCCCTATCCTGACGCTGTTTAAACTGCAGCAGATCATCTTGACCATGTCTACATGCCTAAATGCATTGGGAAGCTGCCATGTGATTGAATGATTAGAAATTTGCGTTAATGAGCAGTTGGACAGGTGTACCTAATAAAGTGGCCGGTGAGTGTAAGTCATGTAATAATGGCAAAAGAATAGACCATCTGAATTTCATTCGTACTACTCAAACCATACTATATATAATGTAATTCTCTAAATGTCGTGTAGCAAATTCAAATTCAAAAAGTTCCTAGTTATATTGGCCTAGAAAGTCAACTTTTTGTCTTAATAAACAATATAACTACACAAGAGTCAAGCATTAAATAAAAAAAATGATGGAAACACTGGTCATTTTTGAGTGAGATGCTAACGGTCTGATCAGATTCAATTATCTATGCTAAGCTCGGCTATAATGCTTTAGAGATCAGCTAAATGGATTCAAAACTGGTAAAACTCAGTTATTTAATTCGAGTTGTTAAATTTGCTTACGTAAAAAAAAAGGGTCCCTTTAAATGTAAAGATTCTGCCATGAGAACAACTTCTACTCTGATAACATGTGACAGATATTAAATGATGATAACATTCATTCGTTCATTCCATGACAGATTGCTCTGAGCTTTCTTCAGTCTCGTATGAAAGCCTCAAAGCAATAGAAGCAATCTGTACGCCTGCAGTTTTTCTATGGAAACAGCTAGTAACGTTTTGACACATGCAATGTGTGGCCAATAAACAAACGATTATGACAATATATGGTCTGTGTACATTCTCAAAGCGGTCTCTGGTATTTTTATAGGTTTAGCACTGGATTTGGAAGTGTGCAGGCTGCACATGTTGTCAATAACAGCTTATGTTCAATGTAATTCCATAAAAGATAATAATTTATTCAAGGCAAAGGTTTTACACTCTGTTAATGTTTATAGAGAGACATTTGATACAAGGACAACATGAATGGGGCAATTTGCAGCATGTCTGGCACAGGACAATAGATGAATAAGTGCTTAGAGCAGATTACAAAATCACCAGGTGTCCTATTGGATTCTGCTTTGTGAACTGGTCTCTCTGTCTGAATGGGATTAATTTTATATGAAGAGGTGGAATGATGCAATAATGACCGGAGCTTCTTGAATTGGCCATGTGAGTAGTAGTTTTTCCAGACTGTGCTGGTACATACTGCTTTGATAAACCATGCTGAAAAACAACATGCTGGGTAAAAATTCTCATCTTTTCCAGCTGACGCTTTTTAAAGCCTGTGGGTGATCGTACATCAAACACTTTAAGTGGCTCAAGTGGAAGCAGTCAATGAGAAGACACCAGAAATGTAGCCATGAATTTATGGGTCTTCCCTCAAATTTAACATTTTTCCTTTAAATTTTGGGTAAATCCAAAAAACAAAGCTTTATAGTGTTTCATACAGTATTTTGTTTGCAATGTGATTTGATTTCACCAATTAATCGCATCTTTTTTATGTTTATTGGTCTGGTTTTGTCCATATTGTTTTCTAAATACTAATGAGAAATTTAATGTGATGCAATGTATTGCTGTGTGGCATCAGTTTATCATTTTCACATTTATATTTCTTAATCTTCATAATCTTTAATTCTTAAAAGCAGGTGTCCAGCTATTCACTAACCTGTGCCTTTATTATTTTATAAGCTAGACATCATCCTACTAGCATTACTAAAAAAATAATAAAGAACAATATAACAAGAAAAGATAAATCAACTGTAAAGGAATGATTGTTTTCTAATTTAATTTGTAAAATGTATATACTGGCACTGGCGACGTAGTTGCGCAGTAGGTAGTGCTGTCGCCTCACAGCAAGAAGGTCGCTGGTTCGAGCCTCGGCTCAGTTGGCATTTCTGTGTGATCTGCATGTTCTTCCTGCATTCGCGTGGGTTTCCTCCGGGTGCTTCGGTTTCCCCCACAGTCCAAAGACATGCGGTACAGGTGAATTGAATAGGCTAAATTGTCCGTAGTGTTTGAGTGTGTGTGTGTGTGTGAATGAGTGTGTGTGGATGTTTTAATAAAGGGACTAAGTCGACAAGAAAATGAATGAATGAATGAATATACTGGCACCATGCGTGTACTGTAATAGTGTAATATTGGGTGATCTCAAATTGAGCCCTTCTATGTTGAACTGAACACTTCAAAGTTCCATAAGGCAATGAAATATGCTTTATTTTATGTTTTTGAGATTGATATTAAAATATCAGGAGAACATTATGCAATTTAAGCAGTCTGTGATCTATTTAAGCCAGATATATAGGTTTGGGTGACTAAAGACTTTATTCCTCCCTTCCTTCCTCCCCTTCTTCCTTCCTTTCATCCACCTACCTATCCATCCATCCGTTCGTCCGTCCATCCATCCATCCATCCATCCATCCGTCCGTCCATCCATCCATCCATCCATCCATCCATCCATCCATCCATCCATCCAATTATTTATTTATGTGATTTAATTTTCCTCTTGTGATTCTTTTTCTTCTTCTTTAATTTATGCTTTTGAATTGCTTTATGGGACCTTGATCTTTCCTCCAACAACTGATGTTGAAAAGTTCAGAAAATTTACTTTTATTGACATTTTTAACTGATATATTTTTTGGATAGGTGTTGTAAATTACAGTACAAACACCCAATAACAAACAGACAGCACTTTTTATTTTATTGTCTGGATATAACAAAAATCTCATATCACGATATAAGTCATCTCATATCCCAATAATGATAGCACGTGGCTCAGAGGTTAGCATTGTCGACTGAAAAAGCAAGAAGGTCGCTGGTTTAAGTATGGGCTGGGCCAGCTAACATTTTGTGTGGAGTTTGCATGTTCTCCCTGTGTTGGTGTAGGTTTCGTCCGTGTCCTCCGTTTTTCCCTACAGTCCAAAGACATCCGCTATAGGTGAACTGAATAAACTAAACTGTCAGTAGTGTATGAGTGTGTGTGTGTGAATGTGTAAAAGTTTGAACAATAATCTGACTTTAACTGTGTGTGTGTTTGTTATATATATATATATATATATATATATAGTTGAAGTCAGAATTATTAGCCCCCCCCTGAATTATTAGACTCCCTGTTTATTTTTTCTCCAATTTCTGTTTAACGGAGAGCATATTTTTTCAACACATTTCTAAACATAAAAGTTTTAATAACTCATCTCTAATCAATGATTTATTTTATCTTTGCCATGATGACAGTAAATAATATTTGACTAGATATTTTTCAAGACACTTCTACACAGCTTAAAGTGACATTTAAAGGCTTAATTTGGTTAATTAGGTTAATTGGCAGATTAGGGTAATTAGTCAAGTTAATGTATAACGATGGTTTGTTCTGTAGATAGTTAAATGGGCTAATAATATTGTCCTTAAAATGGTGTTTAAAAAATTAATAACTGTTTTTAATCTAGCAAATATAAAACAAATAAGACTTTCTCCAGAAGAAAAAATATTATCAGACTTACGGTGAAAGTTTTCTTGCTCTGTTAAACACAATTTAGGAAATATTTAAAAAAAGAAAAAAAATTCAAAGGCGGGCTAATAGTTCTGACTTCAACTGTATATATATTCATATTGCACAGCAGAGTTAAATTTTCAACATCTAAAATCGAATCCTATTATGAAATTCATAACTGTAAATTAATGGAAAGCATCACAAAATTACAGTGTGTTTTTGCAGTGTATGCAACATTGAAACATTTAGAAATTTAAGGGTTAATCAAAATAACTACCTCTCCCTCTTTAACAACAGCTCCCCTCTAATAATGTGTTTACAAGGGCATTGTAAACCATGGGATTCACCAATAGCAAACCACAACCATCCAGTAATCCAACCAACGGACAAAATTAAGTTGTTGTAGTATATCATAATGAAGCTGCTTTAATCAGATAAATGTCCTAACTGGAAAGAAAAGACTACCACATCTTCAGTTTCTGAAAAAAATCCACTTTGCAACTATTAGTTTACACATTCACACGCTGTTAAAAATGCTGGGTTAGACATAATCAGTTTGTGATGGGACAACATGTCATGTTTCTTAGTGCATGCAAATAAATTAATGGCTGTTTTCTTTTATCTTTGGTAGATGCATGAAAGCTGAAAGGATCATTTCAGTCAGGACTCACCATTGCCAAGCTCCCAGGAGATGTTGTATTTTTTGCCGGCGCTGTATTTGAGCAGACTCAGAGCACTGGTTGCATTCCACGAGTTGTCTGGGTTTCTGTGCAAGGCATTCAGGCCGAAGATCAGGTGCAGTCCTGCGCAGTCGGCAAAGTTGTAGAGTTTGTCTAAAGACCTGGCTGGGAAAAAGCCAAACACAGCTGTAACATTGATACTTCATTTTTTTTTGCACAGTGTCCATTTACATTTAAGTTTTTAAAAATGTTAAAAGGTCTTTACAATAATTAAATGCATTTCAACTATTATTTTTATTATTTATATTCTATTAGTATGGCAGGAGTCTAAAACAAACCTAAAACAGCAATTAGTAATGATTTCATATATATATATATATATATATATATATATATATATATATATATATATATATATATATATATATATATATATATATATATATATATATATATATATATATTATTACGGTTGTATAAAAATTTGATAAACATTAAAATTTTGCATCTTTTTTAAATGTGAAAATAATAATATTAATAATGATAATAATATTAATAATAATAACTGTTATAAACATTAAATAAAAAAATACTATTATTAACAATAATAATTAATAAAGAATAATAATAAATAAAGAAAATAAAATATTAAAAATATTATATATATATATATATATATATATATATATATATATATATATATATATATATATATATATAAAAGAATACATAAAGAATAGTAATAAATTTCTTAAATAAAATATTAATAATAATAATTAGTATAATATAGATTAATAATAACCATAATCATAATCATAATCATAATAGTAATGTGAATAGAAATTATGATTATTATTATCATTATTGTTTTATTATTAGTGTTATTATTAACAATATATAATAATAATAATAATATAAAAATCTATAATAATAATATGAAAATATATAATATAAAATAATAATAGTAATACAAATAGTGATTATTATTATTATCATTAGTTTTATTATTACTGTTATTATTAACAATACATAATAATAATAATAATAATAATAATAATAATAATAATAATAATAATATAAAAATATCATATATGATATATTATTAAAAAAAATAATAATAATGTTCCCTCCAAATATTATTACAAAATGTAATAATGTTTGGAAACACACTACATTTATTTATTTATAACAAACATGAATTCATTAATTAATTTGTTTGTTTGTTTGTTTATTATGTTTACAAAAATTATTTTAGAAAATACTTTATTACAGGAAAACCCATGACAGAATAAATTTGGGAAAACTTTGATAACAGACCATTAAAACAACAACAACATTCAAACAGAGCACTTTAAGAAAAATACAAAACAGAGAGCATCAAAGTCAGTGTCCATGTTTTACATCTGCCAGACAGACAGACGGACAGACAGACATGATAATTCAGATTTTGCTAATAGACAGCCGTTGGTGAATGTTTGGAAACTCTATCTGTTAAGAGCAGCAAAAATAAACACAAATATTTCGCTACCCTTTGACTTCATTTCCTGTGCTTAAAGGGAAGCAGATGAAACCAAGAGAGGCGCACGGGGAGCCCCATCATGTCAGTGATGAGAGATTCTCCGTAAAGGGACATTTATAAGCATGTGGATCCTCCATTGTTTTTAGTTAGCCACAATAATCAAGAATTCACATGCCAAATTAACTCTGTGCTTCATTTTAGGAAGACTTTCAGACAATTTCAAAGCCCTTGCACACTATATACATTAAAATTCAGAATTACTAGCCCTCCTAAATTATTAGCCCCCATGTATATCTTTCCCTGATTTCTGTTTAATGGAGAGATTTTTTCATTCATTCATTCATTTTCTTTTCTGCTTAGTTCCTTTATCAATCTGGAAAATGAACCGTCAACTTATCCAACATATGTTTTACACAGCGGATGCCCTTCCAGCTGCAACCTATCTCTGGGAAACACCCATACACACTCATCCACACTACGACTAATTTAGCTTAACCAATTTACCTGTACCGCATGTCTTAGGACTGTGGGGGAAACCGGAGCACCCGTAGGAAACCAACGCGAACGGTGGCAAAGTACACACAGAACCACCAACTGACCCAGCCGAGGCTCGAACCAGCAACCTTCTAGCTGTGATGTGACAGCACTATCTACTGCGCCACCATGTGGCCAAGATTTTTTCAACACATTTCTAAACATAATAGTTTTAATAACTCATTTCTAAAAACTAATTTATTTTATCTTTGCCATGATGACAGTAAATAATATTTGACTAGATATTTTAAGATACTATTCAGCTTAAAGTGACATTAAAAGGCTTTGTAACAATAGTTTGTTCTGTAGACAATATGAAGACAAATGCTTGAATGTGCTGCATGTAAGTTTTTCACTCTTATAAAACATATAAAGATCATAATGTTAGCAGATATTTAAGAAACATGCTACGTGAACATTCTTGTTTATCTAAAAAACAATGCTATAAAGTCACATATTCTGCTTTGAAACTGTGTGTCAGAACGTCTGTCTTTGTTTTGGTCAATTAAGTCGCCCAATGCCACTTTAGCCAGTTATATTTCAACAATCTGGGTTGCCTTCATGAAAAACAACGAATTTTTCATTTATTCAGTCAGGAAGGCTCTCAAAGCATGCATCTGGGACTGAAATGAGACGCAGATTCAGAGTTCCATGTGAGGTTATTGATTAGCAAATAATTTAATTATTTCAAACATAAACATTAGCTGAGCAGGTTACATTGTAACCAGGAAAGAGAAACTGCTTTTCTGATGTGCACAACTGACACAATGATGTGAAGATAGAACAGATAGTTTTAAGAATTTCAATTCTGATCTAAAAAATGTAGCACATATTAAACCTCTTTAACATTATTAATTGTAGATTCTGAATCACTGATATGTGTCGGTTTGCACCGAGTCTACAGTTTAAGTTTAAACTTTTTCTACTATGTGCTGCTGCTTACAGTCTATGGCAATAAATGTCATGTAAAATGGCGTTTAGGGTGCTTTTACACCTAGACTTTTGTTTTGGAACCCATCTCATTTGCCCAGTTAGTGCGGTTCGTTTGGCATATGTGAAACCAGCAATCGCGTTTGGATCCCCGGCAAATCAATCGGTATGAGATCGCCTGAATGAGGTGGTCTAGGCTCGATTGAAACGAACTCTGGAGCGGATCGATTGTTGTGAGAAAGCAAAACGATCCGAGCCTGGCTCTATCACAGGGTATTATGGATTTGTACTGTAACAGGCATATTTGGCTATATGAAGAAAGAATTATGAGTAGGGCGGGATGTCATTCCTACCGGTAAATGTGTGTTTCATGTTAAATACGAAAGTGAAAGCTTGCTGAACTAATAATGAGAGCTGTTTATCCGTTAGGAACTTTGACCGAACTGCAGTCTAGCAAAGAACTCGGTATGAGGGAGTCTTACCTCTGATTTCTATCTGGTGAGGATGCCTGTGGGCGTCACCATTCAGAATGAAAGCACACCTTTTCGCTAATAATGTCTCATTGCCATAAACTAAATAAGGACGTATGACAGCTGAGCGGGACAAGATAAACCATGACCAATGTAGGGAGAGTTAACTCACATGTGACTTGTTTTAGCTATTTTGGTCCATTTAGAAACTTTGCCGTGTGAAAGTGAACTGCACCAAAAACAAAGAGCAACATTGTAACAATTTTAACCCCTGTTTCGGAACAAATGAATCAATTAACAGATGTGAAAGCACATTAAACTCACTTTGTTAGCATTTAACACTGAATAAAGCACATGAGGTGATCGTTGTCAGTTTATCCTGTTGTACAGCTACAAGAAATAGAAGCTGTTTCTAATATATCAATTCGAGGTATTGGTTAGGACAAAAACTTATTTTAATATGGAAAATATTCCTGGGATCGCATGCTGTTGCATTCATTTAGAACACAACTTAAATGAGCCGTTAGGCTTGATAGTCAGGCACACTATTGTTGAAGTCACTTGCACTTGCCTGTGTTTTGAACCAGGTGTGCAATACCTAGTTAAACCACTGGGTGTTAAACTTACATACTGCACCTTGAAGAGGCCTTGTAATATTGACCTTAAAATAGTTTTTTTTTTATTTTAAACTTTTTTTTTGTGTGTGTAGCCGAAATAAAACAATTAAGACTTTCTCCAAAAAAAAATATTATTGAAAATACTGTGAAAAAATGTCTTGCTCTGTTAAACATCATTTGGGATACATTCAAAAAAAGAAAAAACATAGGAAGGCTAATATTTTGACATCAACAGTATGTTTATTAAATCATGCTAGCTTATTTTAGCCAATTTTATGAATATAGTATCAATTAAATCAAGCATATTTTACTACAGTTTAAATCTTTTCATAGATTTCCAACCAAAATCAGAAAACATGCATAAAAAGACATGAAGATTCTGTCTGGGCATGAATACAAGCAGCTATCATCATAGGTTAGTCTTGGCATTTCTTTATGAAAACACACACACACACACATTAGATCTGTTCAGGCATCACATTCGTTCTTTAAATTTATTTTGACTGCAACATGGGCATACGTTTCTCTCATCAGCATTTATGGCTAGATAAATCGTCCCGCGAAAAGCAAAACAGAATAACGAGAACAAACTGACAGGCCGAAAAAGCACTATGGCGTGACTGCTAAGCTTGAGTTTAATTGTGCAGTCATCTTTATAGCTTTCATCCCAATTTGAAACATCACTACTAACGGCCAAAGTGGTGTTTCCTTAAAAAAAAAAAAAAGAAAAGAGCTCGTAATTATTCTAATCACATAGACGGACGTGCAAAGCCTCGTAAAAAAAGATCCAACACGCAGCTTCCCTGGGTACCGAACTATAAAAAGCGCTCTTTTAAATCAGCAGGGAAATGTTCCAATTACAGACTCGTTAAAATATTACCATAATGAGGTCAAGATTATCTTTAATTCAAACAAGCAGTCAAACACCAATGACGGACCTTTTATCACTCGTATTTAGCGGGCATCAAACAAATGTGGTTATATGGACTTGTTTACTGCAGTTAAAAGAAGGCTTTTATACAGTAAGCATGGCACATTTTTTTGGTAAAAAGTTTTTCTTTTTTTTTGCTCTAAACGCTGGACCACCTTGCCATG